CCTTAACTCTATATAGGGTTGGTTGATTTAACTGACCTCGTAACCACCATTAAAAATTAGGAAATAAATCTAAATTACCCTTTTTTTTGTTCTAGAATGACTGAAGATTGTAACAGAAAACCACAAAAGTTTATTCTAAATAACTTAAATCTCGTAACAGTATATATCTATTTATATTTATTAATTTTTTTGTTTTATAGACCTTTGAACCGTGTCTGACTAATAATCCCACCACATAAGTTGTAAATCATGCAGCGCACACTACAGTATTGAATAGCATAAAATTGGCTTTTACAAAGTACAAATGTCTTACTCTTCCTCGTCTTAGTACTAACGTACCAGTATTTTGTAAAATACAATCACATTTTGGTAACCATACATTACATATACATTAATACTATTTACAAATAAATTCTTAAATTTCAGTTATTTTTCTTAAAACATAGTACAATAAATAAAAAATATATAGAAAACAATGATCGCTACTACTTACAATGTAACAATTTTTTTGTACTCGTGTGTCATATTTGCTAAGCCTTGTCAAATTTCGTACATGGAGAATGTAAAAAATTTTTTGTAGGTTTTACATATGCATTTTGAAATAACAAAAATTATAAGTTACTATACCAACCCCACAAAATTCCACTGTAATATGTGGCTTCCTAACTAAGCTGTATTTGAATCTAAAAAATCTCATTTCCTATCAGCATGTTGTCTTGGTCACCGCTTTGCAATGGTAATAACAACTTTACCAACATAAATACTTTAAAAACACTGAAAGAAGTATGTAGTTCAAAATTAGCACTTTCAATTGTTTATAAACATGTAATTGAGAGAAGTGGGCAAAGATAAACAAATATTTTCAAAAAAAGAGAAGGTGAGTGGAGCCACTGTGATGGGTTTGCTAAATATCTCAGAAAATAGAAAAGGTAGGAGGTTCTTATTTTATATTTTAACTTATCAATATTGGTAATTTGAGTTCCTAATTAGTTAAAAACTGTAGATTTTACATTTTTTTATGCCCACAATAAAATCTGAGCAAATGCAGACAACGATGTGCCATATGACACACAAACAATTGATATTTAGCAATTTTTTTTAATATTTACTTTTGAACTAAGAAATTAAATAATGTATAATACTAAAATTTGAATTACAAACTACAATTTTATTCCAAATTTATGGCCATATATTCATAAAATAGTTATTTAATAAAATTTTGAATGTAAGTCTACAAAACATGATAACATGCACTCTGACCCCAACCCGTATGGAAAGGGTTAATGCTCTTCCCACATCTAATATATCTGACAATTAAGGCTTACAACTGATTTAAGCTTTACAAGTTCTTATCATTATTATTTAACACTTACATATATTCTAATTATGTAAAAAGTAAAATTACTTCAGATTAGAAACTTACGCACAGTCGGATAGATCTCACTGACATAAATACGCAGCAAGTGAAGACTTGCAGCACATATATAAATCAGTCTCTCGAGATCCAGCAAAGCTGCTGTAGCCGGCATAGAAGCCGTCTGGGCTGTTTCACATAAGCCAGCTTTGAAAGTCTGCCAGCTCCAACGCAGAAGTTTTAGTAGAGAATGGAAACAATCCTGTAATAAATAGCAAGTTTTTCAAATATTATAAACATTTTCACCCCATTCTATTTTTATCAGCATTGTAATATTAGAAGTTTAAAACAAAAGCTGCGCAATGTTATTACTTAAAAGAATTGTATAAAAAAGATGTAAATATACATGGCAAGGAAACACAAATCTCATCTAAAATATTCTGTTTAATATATGAAATATATATATGTCTAAGTTAATGTTGTCATACGGATTCAAAAATTGGAAAATTAATTTTAATACAATAAACAAACAAATGCCAGTTTTCAAAGACTACTTTCCAGGAGGATAGGTAACTGACTTTTTAAAAATGAGCATATTTCCATTTTAAAAATCACTAACCTTTTTAATACTGTTATATAATGCACTGACTAAAGATTAGCATAAAAGATCTTCCAATTTATAACTACTCCAAAATGTCCAGCATAAAACACAATTTCAACTACTACTGCACTGTTTCTTTACTTTTACCATTTGTCATAAGAGTCTAAAATAAGTAACACAGTAGCATGTGAATTCTGAATTTTTCTAGTCTACTAGTTAATTGTTACTTTATGCTATTGGAAAAGTTTTAATATACAAGCAAAATACTTGTATAATTTAAATAAAAAACTTTTACTTCTAAAAAAATTAAAAACGGAGACAATAAATAAAATAGATATTTTTAAATCAATCAAAAACAATATTCTTTTAAGACAAGTGTGTTCTTACTGGGACAACAGTTCTTGAAAATTCTTTACTCAAAATGCAGAGTGGTTCAATTGTGTCAGGCACTCTTTTGGTAGAATGACTATCTGGTGCAACCACTCTGAAAATTAAAAACAGAAATTACATTTACATACATTTTCATGTAACCTATACATTTACATTATATTTGAATAGAGTTTAATTTTAAGAAATCATGAAGCTCTCCCTGTTTTGTAACAATAGGTCCTAAATGTTCTACACAAGTTATTTCTTTGAAAATATTGAAATAATAACTCATTTTCAAACACCAAATTAGAAATTGCCATTAAAAGTTTATAACATATGTTAAAAAAAACAACACAGATAAAGTAACAAAAAATACATATTAAAGTATTTGTTTATTTCTAAAACGAGCCCAAAACTAGCCATCCCTTATTTTGAACTGATAGACTAGAGGGATGGCATCTAGTCAACAGCACTCAACACTAAATTTTAGCTAATCTAATCAAACAAAGGGATTTAACCACCACTTTTAATGCAACCATGGTATCATATCCAATATTAAAGTCTCAATAATAACAAGTTCTGTATTAAAACAAATTTTTAACATATTTCAAAACTTCAGTAGCTACATACCTGTATAACAACTGAGGAATTTGTCCAGCATTAACATCAGTTCCATTATTAGACTTCTTTGAGCTTTTGAAGCAAAATACAACCCTATAAAACAGGTTAATTTTATAAATATATGTACAGATATTTTACATCATCACTGGAAACTATTATTAATATTAATCATATCACTTTATATGTACCAGCAAAGAGAAAATTTTAAAGTTTATTATTTATTAGATTTTTCACCTAATATTTTTGATACAGCAGTGAGAAGATTCAACAAAATTTCAAATGATGATAAAAAAAGTAAACTAAAATCAACATTTAATAAAATAGATGAAAAAGGAAATTTTGTTTCTACCATATATCCCAGGTTTGTCATGACAAATTTTTGTAAACTTAAAACACAAAAAAATCTCATTCCCATTTATAGACCACTGAATTCATCAAATATGGAGAAAACTGGTATTTATAAAATCAAAATAATTTTAAATTACCAGAGTGTGTTCTAAATTATGCTTGAAGGCATCTAGATTATTCTAATTTAAAATTTCATTGACAAAATTAAAAAAGTTGAACATATATGGACAATAAAAGATTAAAAACTGTTTAAACAGATGGGTTTTTTAAATTCTAAAATATGATGTTGCCAAATAGAGCTTTGCAATCTGTAATGACAAAATAGGATGACTGGCAAGCTTAGTGATCAAACCTCAATATCAGAATTAGTATTCTAATGTGGCTTTGAAATACTTAAAAAAAATGTATATTTTTTTTACACAAATATCAGGTCAAAGCAGCCAATGAAAACCAAACTGTCTACATGACTACTTTATTATTGTGCTTGTCTTGATTGTTTTTTTTACAGTGTGATATTTATTTTTCCTTTTTTTAAATATTATTATAAGTAACATAAAACAAATAACTTATTATCACTATTATCATCCCTAAAAGTAAGAATTAAGTAATATAACAAACAAAATAAATAACTAAATGAAGAGAACAGACCAAGTGCAGTAAGAAAGTGGTCATTCTAAATAATGTTTTCATATGCATTTTAAAATATGGAACAAAAATAAAACAAACTATATACAGGAAAATAATTCTTAAATAGTCCAAATTTTGCCTCTTATATAATATTTATAGTACTGTATTATTTACCTCATTATGATCACATCAATTTCATGATCACTGACCCCTGTACCTCAACCCCTCCTTATTTCTTTATAAGATATTTTAATATTTCATTACGTACAAGCTGAGGTACCTGTCCTTTGTCAAGGTTATGGATTTAAAAAATGTGGGGGTTGGATGCTATAAGTAACACAAAAACCTAACTTTCGCACAATTTATTTATAACATAACATACTAATACAGTATTCATTATTACCTCATCCAAAGTTTGTATAAGCTTAAGAATGCACTGTGTATATACTTAAAACATGGTATACACTGTGCAATTTTCAGGGTGACTTTGTACAAAGAGGTAGCAGCCAAAGTAGCAGCAGTAGTGGTGCTTTCTGTTACCTGCTTTCAACACCTAGCTCTTAATGTCTTTCCACACTGTTTCATTTTATTAATTAAGTGATGGTCATTGTCTTATGGGATGAAGTTTTAAGGTTGCTGGTCAAAGTATGAAGTGGTTATAACTCAAGAAACAGCTCTTCATATCAGTGTTATGGTGGCTGTTGTAGTATAAACTTCAACTGAGTTTATGTATTATTGCAATAGTGGTAGCCACTTGTTTTCATTGCATTCCTCCACAGAGAGTGTTAGTGCACTCTCTGAGATATAGAGGATATTTGTGTGCCCTCGCCACACCGTAAGTATGTTGTGTTATAGAAAATTTAATACTTTTTTGTTGTCGTTATGTGTAAGAATGTGGTGCCATCTATGAATGTAGTTAACATTAACTTACATCAAAGATAATAAATGCTCAATAACATCAACAATGAGGGTGGAGGGGTTATAAACCCCCATTAACATGCCTCTTGTTCCAAACTATCATCCCACAAAGTTTGGTTCAGATTGGCCCAGAGACCTAGGAGTAGTTAGATAAGAGACAAACAGACAGAGTTTTGTGCTTTATATATATGGTATGGTTTAATATTAACTTCAATCAGAGCAAACTATGTACTTAGAACAAAACTAAAAAATCAACCTGGCAATTAGTATAGCTAATTAAATATACCTTTCTTACATGTCTATTTGATAAGATTAGAATGAATTGTTTCATCAGTTAAGTACCTTCACTGTTAAAAACTAGTCTGGACTCTCATAACTGTGGATTTGGCATAATGGGAGATGAAGAGGAAATTCCAGTATATATTTTTTTTTTACTTTTTTCAGTAGATTTCATTTTTCATTGTTTTTTTTACATAACACTATAAAAAATAAAAATGTTCATAATCTATATGAAATTCTCTTACAATTGGAGTAGTCAAATATATTAAAATGTCTCTTTATAATCATTTTATTTGCATATGCAAAGAAAATCTTTTTGGTACACAACTGCAACCTCCAAGGACAAAATATAAATGTCATTTTGTCTCTGTTGACCTCATTATAAAAAAAAAAAAATCCTGTTGATTTGAATGAGATACTACTTGAAAACTTAACACGGATAATGACTTTGATCAATGATCTTGTCGGTCATCCATCATCATTCATCCAATATGCACATATATTTTTACAATTCTAAAAAGGAAGTATTGGGAAATTCAGAGAGCAGCTAAAACATGCCAAGCTCACATTTCACTTAACAACTGAGAATTCAAGCCACAACAGGTTTTCACAAGAGTATTTCAAGTTTGGGTACTATATTACTGTTTATAATATTTACAGGCCCCCCAGCTGTGCCTGCTGCTGCCAGCTTTTAAAATAAAGGCTGAAATTGACTGAAATACAGGCAGTTTTTAGTGTAATCACTCTTGCAAAAGTGCTACATTATAATCGTACAAGTTCTATAGAACCAAATATGGAAATATATTTGAAGCATAGTTGTTTCCCACTGTCTCCCTAACAACTGAGACAATCTTTCTTTCCTTGTAACTGAAAACATTCATTTCAGGAAATTGCTTTTTGAACTCTCATACATGAAGTGTGTGAAGCAGTCACTGAATTTTATATTTTAAATGAAGAGCAAAAAACCCTTTCTGCAAACCTCCATTTTTTACAGGCTGAAACATTAAAAAATAGGCTTTTTTGAAACCATTATACAGATCATAAAAGTTAAGCTTCTGAAAAATAGTTTTTAGAAATTTGTTGTGTTTATTAACATAAACATCAGTTTAATCTCTGAAATATTCATATTTTGTAATAGCTCATGTTTATTTTCTTCTAAACATTAAAAAAAAATGCAAATGGTGTTTATGAAATACCTATGCCTGCTTTGACCTTGACCCTCAAAAGTTAATCAAGTCTTGAACTTTAAAAGTAGTACTTGTGGCATTGTCAAAATCCACCCATCCATTCTCGAGATATCCTGTCCACAAAATATGAGTGGATGAACAGTGACAAACAAATATGCTCCATTCTGATGTGCAATAGGTGTATAAAAATCTTTAGGGTCAATAATCACCATAACATTACATGTGACAGTTTTCTCCATGCTTATTTCTCAAGGATTCTATTGTTTTTAACGTATTTACATAAAAGAAACATGCAATGTTCCTAGTTTTCAAAACTGGCACTAGTTTTAGACTTTATTATTAAACTTACTTTACAATAATTTTAGTTTTTATTAATCAGCTTATTCTATGCTGCTTCTTGTTTTTAATAATCAGCTTATTTCAACTAGTTTTTGTTTTTAAACTTTCCTGATCACATTACATTATACAAGAAAATATTACAATAAAACCTATAATAAAAACTAAGAAAAAGTTTATTTCTGCAATTATTTATTTTTTAATGCAATGTAACATCCACTTAAGTTGGTTTGAAAGTTAAAACACAATACATACTGATCTTCTGTAGTGACAGCTGACAAACCACTGGAACCACAATCACTGCTTGGCCCCGATATTCTTGCCCAAGCTACATACCATCTATTAGCCATTATGGATACCGGCTCATCAAACAACATGGGATACTTCTGTCTAAACAATAAGGAAAGTAAAACTTATAATTAGGTAACACTCAAAACTACAGTTCAGTTAAGTATTTCTAAAACATCTTTACATACTGTTTAATAAGATGCTAACATTGTATTGCTGGTTTTTGTCCTTTTTATGTTATACCTCACTGAAGATGTACAATAATATAGCTTTTATTACAGGGTCCTATTAATGTAGTGTCTATGCCAATGTGTATACTGCCAAGATACATGTATTGTACTTTACTTAGCTGTTAGTTAAACAAAATTGAGTCTCAAAGTGTTTTCACAGATTCTTTCAGTTGTGAAGTATAATGAAAATTTGTTTTCAGGTTATACTGTAATACTGAAAAATGATAAATTAGATTGTCATCATACAAAGTTTCATCATCCATTAATTGTTTTTTTATTTTCTGTGAATTATCATGTAATAAAAAAAAAGGCAGAAGAACAAGAAATTCAAACTTTTTGCTATGATATTTACAGACATTTCCAGAACTTGTGACTCAGTCATTACATAGATATTGTTATAAGAGGACATATTTAAAATACATCTTCGATGGACAATCTGAGCCATCCTTACAAAGGCAGTGCTACCGCCTGCCTGATAATATTAGCGTACATTGCTTACTGAATATAAAGTATGCACATAAACAATGTACTTATAATTCATAATAACCGAGTATTAAGAGCTGACAAAAAAGACTGTTCGAGTGTTGACCCAATCTTTAAAAACTGTATGAATTATTTTGCACTTTATCAAAAGCTCTTAACCCTATCTGCCCATGGCATAATTTACTGTGCAAGTTATGAAGTTTAGTGTTTTACGTTCAAAAGTTTACTAAACTATTTTTGTTTATGCTATACCAATTAGTATAGCATAAAATCGTAGCTAATAATCCATATTTTAATAGTATACAAGTTTTAAATTCTTAATTTTATAAGGCAATACATTTTTTGTAGTCATCCCATCTTCTCTATTATATTCACCACCCCTCCAATAAACACAAAATTTAACATAAATTACTCACTACAAAATTGTTATTGCTCAGACAAACCATAATTTTTATACCTTTCAATTTTGTTTGGCTACAGAGCCATCAAATAGAAAATCAGACCCCTCTTGCCACACCCACCTGTCACATCCTCTCTCTTTCAGGATTTGTTAATAGTTCTCTCTTATGTTTAATTCTGTATTATCTATAACCAATAGAAAGCCAAGGTTTTCATCTATCAAATGAAATATTATATTATGTTGTGTTTTGAACAGACAATTGTCAATTTC